GAAGAGTAGAGACATCAGACTGGCAACAAAGATCCGCCTAGTCAAAGCCATGGTATTCCCTGTAGTAACCTACGGATGTGAGAGCTGGACCTTAGGGAAGGCTGAGCGAAGGAAGATCGATGCTTTTGAGCTGTGGTGTTGGAGGAAAGTTCTGAGAGTGCCTTGGACTGCGAGAAGATCCAACCAGTCCATCCTCCAGGAAATAAAGCCCGACAGCTCACTGGAGGGAAAGATACTAGAGACAAAGTTGAAGTACTTTGGCCACATCATGAGGAGACAGGAAAGCCTAGAGAAGACAATTATGCTGGGGAAAGTGGAACAAAGTTGAAGTACTTTGGCCACATCATGAGGAGACAGGAAAGCCTAGAGAAGACAATTATGCTGGGGAAAGTGGAAGGCAAAAGGAAGAGGGGCCGACCAAGGGCAAGATGGATGGATGGCATCCTTGAAGTGACTGGACTGACCTTGAGGGTGCTGGGGGTGGTAACGGCCGACAGGGAGCTCTGGCGTAGGCTGGTCCATGAGGTCACGAAGAGTCGGAGACGACTGAACGAATGAACAACAACAACAATTGCAATATTATTTCACACACTTTTTTCATGTTGCACGAAGAGCTGCTTTGCCACATCATATGCAGCCTAGCCTCCTATAATGTATGTTGTGAAAGATATTCCCAAGGAAATGATACTGCTAACATTCCCTGACAAGATGTTGTTCCTTTGCTTTCAAATATTGGAATTCTAGTTTCCTCCAAGGACAGTATTCAGTATTTTAAGAGATCTGGTATTCTTAAGATGGTATACACAGATTTCAAAGAAAATTTAGTGCTACATAATCATGTCTGAGTGCTTTCTTTAAAGATGATGTCTTCAAGCTTCTTATTCTATCAGAGCCCCAGTGCAAATATACTGCTCTGCAGAAGATTGAACTCTACAACCACTTTCCTGGGAGTTTGCTCCATTAAACTCAATGGCTCTTACTTCTGAATAGAAATACATAGGATTGCTCAGTTAGATCTTTCTTACATTTCCATATAAGGTCCTAAAGTATGATGTAAAGCATAATATCAAATGTAAGGCAATGTGTTCCAGTCAGATTCTTGGGAATACCCTCAGTTTTTGCACATGTTAGCTATATTACATATTAATTTTCATATGAAATATTTACAATGTTTATGTATGCTAGGAGTTTTGTGTTCATATATCTTATGACTCCCATATTACCCAATTCACCTAGTTTCACCATATTCTGGATTTCCCACACAATGTATTATCCAAGGCTTTCATTAGCTGGGCTGGATTACAAGTTTCATTTTTAAAGCCTCTACACCAGTGGTTCTCAACCTGGGGTCCCCAGATGTTTTTGGCCTACAACAGCTGGGCTCCCACAGAAGTTGAGGAAGCAGGAATCCATTTTGTTTCCTTCTGCTTCAGGATAAGCTTTGTTTAAATTTAACTGCTTTCAGTGTTGCTTGTTTGAGAGGAGGGGTTTCTGTGTTTAAATTTAACTGCTTTCAGTGCTGCTTTGTTTGAGAGGCGGGGCTTCCTGAGTTTAAAAATTAACTGCTTTGTTTGAGAGGCGGGGCTTCCTGAGTTTAAAAATTAACTGCTTTGTTTGAGAGGCGGGGCTTCCTGAGTTTAAAAATTAACTGCTTTGTTTGAGAGGCGGGGCTTCCTGAGTTTAAAAATTAACTGCTTTGTTTGAGAGGCGGGGCTTCCTGAGTTTAAAAATTAACTGCTTTGTTTGAGAGGCGGGGCTTCCTGAGTTTAAAAATTAACTGCTTTGTTTGAGAGGCGGGGCTTCCTGAGTTTAAAAATTAACTGCTTTGTTTGAGAGGCGGGGCTTCCTGAGTTTAAAAATTAACTGCTTTGTTTGAGAGGCGGGGCTTCCTGAGTTTAAAAATTAACTGCTTTGTTTGAGAGGCGGGGCTTCCTGGTTATCCTATATAAACCAGAACTCATACACTCAGTAACTTATACTTTCACCCCTGCATACAGACAACATCAAACACACACCAAGAGGAGGTCATTAGCAACCTCCAGATGGAACAAACACGAAAACTTCCCGTCTCATGCACAAGCTGTGGCATGTTCAGCTTTTTCACACTACAATTACTCAATTACATCTGCCCCAAGTGTAAACAGATCACTCGCATGGAACACAGGATCCGACAACTCGAGGACCGTATTAAGACCCTTAAGGACATTCAGGAACTTGAGCTGTTCTTAGACACCACACACCACACTGTCCTAGACACGCAGCCCATATCACACCAACATTACGGGGAGGCTCAAGAGAACAGCACCTCAGATGTGGACAACCCTCAGGCTTGGAGAAATGTCACCCTTAGAAGGACACATAGGACCCGGAAGCCTCCTCAGAATACTTCCGCTCAGCTGCAGTTACACAATAGATTCCAAATTCTCACACAACTATCACCTGACCAAGAAACACAACATATTGGGGAAGACCAGAATGGCTTAGATACTGATCAGTGGCTCATCCTTGATCAGTGTGCAGGGGATAGCCCTGACTGGGACAACACTTCACAACATTCACACTTGCACAATCGTGCAGGTGTACCATCCCCAACCATAGACCAGGTGCAACAGGAACACATACAGGAGAACCATAGGCTCTTGGACAAATCTCAATGGATTGTCCTTGACGAATGCACCGGGGATGTCGAGGAGGAGGACAACACTTTTCACCTACACAATTCACACCAACAGGATCACTTTTCTGGAGACCTACACACTACATTGCACAAAAGGGGCCCTGTCATTCCGAAAGTAAACAGGTCTTGGTAGTAGGCGACTCCCTCCTTAGAGGAACGGAAGCTGTCATTTCCAGACCAGATGGGATGGCTCGAGAAATATGCTGCCTACCGGGGGCAAAAATACACCATATCACTCAGAGGCTCACCAGGCTCCTCAAGCCCTATCACCGTCCTCCCCTCATGTTGATTCATGTAGGAACCAATGATACTGCAAGGCATACGTTTCAAAAGATCACAAATGATTTTCGAGCTCTAGGAGCAAAGCTAAAAGAATGTAATGTACAGGTGGTCTTTTCATCCCTCCTCCCTGTTGTAAGACACGGACCCACAAGAGCCAGAAAAATAGTACAGGTCAATGACTGGCTTAGAAAATGGTGTCAGGAGGAACGCTTTGGCTTCCTCGACCATGGCCTGCTTTTCCAGGAGGATGGCCTACTGGCAAGGGATGGGGTGCATCTCACACAAATAGGAAAACACCTTTTTGCTCACAGACTCGCAAACCTCATTAGACGCACTTTAAACTAGGTCCACCGGGGGAGGGGGACAACAGCCTTGCGAACACTACTTTACCCATAATGTCTGGGAATCGCCAGAAGGCTAAACGGAGGGCTGCACAAACACAACAAGGACCAAGTACCAAAAGCACAATAATCCCAATTAAACAGCTCAAGGGAAGATCTCAGGGGCTCACATGTCTTTACACTAATGCACAGAGCATGGGAAATAAACAAGACGAACTCCAACTTTTAGCACAACACCACAAATATGATATCATAGGGATCACTGAAACCTGGTGGGATGACTCCTATCGCTGGAATGTAGATATCGAGGGGTATAACCTCTTTCACAGAAACCGAACAAAGGGGAGAGGAGGCGGAGTAGCCTTATATGTCAAAAACTCTTATGCTGCAGAAGAGATTCAAGACAGCAATCTGGGAAACCAGCTTGAAATCATCTGGATAAGAATCAAGGGAACTGGGACTCAAAAAGATGTCGTTGTAGGCGTCTACTACAGACCCCCAAGCCAGGAGGAAGAACTTGATGAAGTCTTCTGCCAACAGTTGACCAAACAGGCACAGAGAAGAGATGTAGTAGTCATGGGCGATTTCAACTAGGCAGCAGATAATGAGGAGTAGCCCCTCTGCCTGTTCTTTTCAAGCCCCAAGATAGTCCCCTCTTGAAGGATTTACCTCAAAAGCTGCTATCACTTTGCTCTCAGTGTTGCACTAGTGACCTGAAACACCTTTTCACCACAAATCAGACTGTGTCCAGATAATTCAGTAAGTAAAATTTTATTAGAAAAATGTATATAAAAATAAGTAAATCTTAAAAAGGGAATCAAAGTCCCAAAATGTGTTTTCAAGATAGCCAAGAGTCCAAAATTCTTTCAAATACAGTCTCAATAGACAATCCACAGATATATCCATAAACAAGATAGCATGAATCCAAGTCTGACAATCTATGTCACACATGATCTAGAAGCAGGAACAAAGAAAAACTTGAATACATGAATTCCAAAAACGTAGGACCAGGAACTGAGAGCTGTTCACTTGAATACAACGTTGCTCTCACAAAGAATTGTACCAGTAGAAACCACTTTAAAGAGCTTCAATCCCTCCCATGAAATCATTCCTCACACACCTCCTTTTCCTCTCTTTATCTCTAAGCCTCTGGGAAAAGTGAGTCTGCCTTTGTTGTATGCTTTGCCTCCAAAGTCCCAAGTGCCTTGACCTGGACAAACATTTTTCTCCCAAATTTCTCTCAGCCTGCACTTCTGGCAGATTCTCATGAGAACTGATATTGCTTTCTCCAGTCTCATGAGAACTGGCAGGAAATTTCAAAACAACTCTCTCCACGACACTTCTGTCCTCCTCTGGGCCCTCTGAATCTATCTCAGCATCCCCTTTTTCATCTTCTGAGCCTCAGAATCTGACCAGGCTACAACACTCAGATATTTCAAAACTGACCAATTGTGAGTGTTGAATTAAGAATGGTAGCCAGCTATTCAGTTTCTGTATGTGAAATGTAGGGAGGCACCAACTTGTACTTTGCTTCAGGCAACAGAATGACATGGGCTGGTCCTCATGCCTTTGATGCATACCATTTCAGGTGATAAATACTTTGATTTCTTTTTCATTTCATCAAAATGTGAATGTCCATCAAACTGTTAATAAATTAATGCCAGCCTGTTATTCAATGATATGTATTTTTATTTTTGCAGGTGATTATATAGTCATGACTATATACTTCGATTTAAGTAGAAGAATGGGATACTTCACAATTCAAACATACATTCCCTGTATATTAACAGTTGTCTTATCCTGGGTATCATTTTGGATTAAAAAAGATGCTACGCCAGCAAGAACAGCCCTAGGTAAGATTTCGGGGAGGGGGGGGAGCACCTGTTTGATGTTATGACTCTTTCTTAGGCTCCTTTGTAGTGCAGAACTTCCTTCTAATTTACAATGGGCAATTGCTTTATAATTATTTGATATCTATGGCATTCAAAAATTCAACCTACCTTCTGCACATATAGGCATATTCCTGGCTGCTACACCCAGCCCCTAGTCCCAGGATGATTGAAGTATTGAGTTCCCACAATTACCTATTCTATCTGTATTCTCACTTGTACTTTCTTAGTGTTGTTATTTGTGCCCTATCTGGGATTTCTGCTCATTTTAAAAGCTATAAAAACGTTTCTTTGGGCTGGATGTTAACCAAATAGAATCAAGGAGGAAAATGGAAAGAAGAAAAGGATGACTACCCTAAAGGCATCTTATCCAATCTAATCTTTTATAATTGGATGGGAGATAACCAGTGACTACCAGGACTTGTCATCTATGGTCCCTTCCACACAGCTGTGTAAAATCCACATTGAACAGGATTATATGGCAGTGTGGACTCAACCCAGTTCAAAGCAGATATTGTGGATTATCTGCCTTTATATTTTGGGTTACATGGCTGTGTGGAAGGATCTTATATTTCAGAGGAAAAAACTGACAAAGCCACCCCTGAGGATTCCATGACTAAGAAAGACCTAGGAAATTCATGGACCCACCAATAGACAGTAAGCACCTTATCCTACCCGTCCCATTTTAAAACAGATCTAATCCATTGAGTGTATGATTTATGGTGAAACTCTCTACCTCTGAGGATGCTTGCCATAGATGCAGGAGAAACGTCAGGAGAGAATGCCTCTAGAACATGGCCATATAGCCTGAAAAAACCTACAACAACCCTATGATGAAACTCTTCCCACGACATGTTCTATCAGCTTCATCACAATTCACCAGTTAAACATCAGAAACAGTCACAAAAAGGATTGGGCAGAAGACAGTCTGAGATTGTCTTCTGCGTGCAGGAACGAGAATATTCCATTTCAAAAGTACAAAAACACGTGGGATAAAAGCTGTCAGAATTGGCCACATTGGATCATATCAATGACGTGGGCAAATGGGCTGTCCTGTGGGTGGCTTCCTAACCAGCACAGAGTCCTCAGTACTCTGCCATAATGCAGCTGCTTGATCCTTTTCCGTAATTTTTTTTTAAAAAAAAATTAAAATTAAGAAATATCACTATTTTAGTAAATCACATTTCTTTTAAACACAAATATCAATATTGCAAAAGTTTGATTACTTAAAATGTCAAAACCCCATTTTTTTAAAAGGGGGGAGAGAATCTATGTGCTTGCAGGATAAGGATAAAAACTGTAAGTAATTGAGAAACGAGCAAATTTAGATAACAGATAATGGAACATAGTTATTTGCAGTGCTACAGGAATAAACAACATGTTTACATGATGCAACCCCCCCCCCCCCACACACACACACACACACTCACAACACACACACACACGGGCCACCCAGTTTGCAGCTTGTAACTAAAATAATACAAAGTTAAACATGAAAACCTTCTAGTATGTAACAGTACATATGATATTGTGGATTTCATACCATAAGATTTGAATAAGAAATGTAACTGTTGCATTTTATAACCATTTGGAGTTCTTGGGTTGTGTGCATTGCAATGGCTAACTTTTTCTCTGTAGTGGAAACAACCAACAGTTTTGGAATAATGAGATTTGAATACACCCATTTACACAAGAACTTGCTGATTCTCATTCATAATTATCTTCTTTGGGTTTTTTAGGTCAGGAAAATAACTATTATCAGCTTGGTAGAATCAAGTTTTCCTGCTTAGTTAGAGGATCCTATACAGCAGAGGTAGGGGAAGTGCAGCTTTGTAATTATGTTGAATTATTCCTGACAACTAGGAAAAGGAGTCCAACAACCAATGGAGAATCAACGATTGGCTATAGGTGGATACTTTTGTACCTCTTTAGATTCTTGGATGGACTTCATTCAACCACTTGCTTCTCCTAAGTAGACCTGCAATCTGCTAAGCATTCAGTTCTTAGTTCAAAGGATCATACATGTGGATTCTATATAAGTGACTTCTTGAATCTTTGGTGAGTTTTAGGACTTCATCATATGCATCTTTGCATAGGATGCTTGCAACACAGTTGATCCACAGAGACCCATGTTACCCATCACACGATGCAGACTAACTTCTGGCAGGGCTCCATCGATCAACTATGGTGCAAGCGTCCTAGGACTCTTTGCCCAGAACATTGGAGACTTCCTGTGTTCTATTGGGAACAACAAGGCCAGTGCAGAGGGAAGCCACATGGCAATGCTTTCCCATGAATGATAGGAAAGCATTGCTGTAGATGAGTTGAAATGCCAAGATTGCCTGCTGCCCCAGGAATTTGCCACAGAGGCTAGCAAACCGCCTCACATACCCTCATCAATATGATGAGGTCCTTAGTCTGAACTTGAAAAGAACCATCTTAAATGTCTACTGAACCATTACTATAGCTCCTTTAAAATACAACCTGAAAACTCAGGATTTTGTACACTTGGTAGTTTGTTGTTGTTGTTCATTCGTTCAGTCATTTCCGACTCTTCATGACCTCATGGACCAGCCCACGCCAGAGCTCCCTGTCGGTCGTCACCACCCCCAGCTCCTTCAAGGCCAATCCAGTCACTTCAAGGATACCATTCACCTTGCCCTTGGTCAGCCCCTCTTCCTTTTTCCTTCCATTTCCCCCAGCATGCTTGGTAGTTTACCCTGGTGTAAATATTTCCTAGGGCAGCCCTGGGATTCATCACACATTTGTTCTAAATCCCAGGCCACTGATCACATGACTGTGGAGTGTGCATCTGTTTCACTGGAGTGGTGTGCGGCTTAACTGGTCACGTGGGTTCTGACATCAGCAAAGTGCCTGTTTGTCCAGAAAGAAGGAGAAGAGATTGCCTGGTTACATGGGCATCTCTGCAGATGTCAGAACAGGACATCCATGCAACCAGGAAGAAATTAAGTCTGTTTACCTCCTTCATTCTAGTTGTTTCTGTGCTCCATTATGATGTCAGCAGAGATGCTTGCAATGGCCAAGAACTCACATGGAACTCTGTGGCCATCTAGAAATGGCAGCAGCAACAAGATGGGCACATTTCATCCCTTTTCCTGTGCTGATGATTCTGGTGTTCAGTTTGGATCAGGCCAAATGAGAGCTGATCTAGTTATCCACACTACCCTAAAGCCATAGGATATTATGGACTTTTCATCATTTCACAATATTCTCCAACTTTGCCTGAAGCAGGATGAGGTCAGTTTAAACCAAAAAAAGAGGATATTAACCGGAAGCCTCTGAGCATAATGAAAACAAGCAGAATTTCCTTTGCAGTGAGTCTAAAAAATGTTAGACAAATCTTCAGAGGGTTTTCATCACCTTCCCAAATATAAGAGTCAGTGGCCACCACTGCATGTTTAAGACATTGAAACTAATCCATAAAACCTCATGACCATTCTTTGACTTAGGCCCCTTCCACACAACTGTATAAAATCCACATTGAACTGGATTATATGGCAGATATCGTTGATTATCTGCCATGATATTCTGGGTTATATAGCTGTGTGGAACGGCCCTTAGTACCTCGCTGGAATGATCTCAACCTACAGAGAAAGCAAACCATGCGAATCTAATATAAATGGTTAGGGAAACATGATACGCAGTGCCAGTTGGAATAATTTCCTAAAAGTTATTTCATGTATTAACTCCCTACTTATAATCTTTCTCAAAATTTATGAACTGAACTAAAGAACTTTTTATTATATTTCTAGTAAAGAACATAAGCTATGAATTAGAGTTCAGCTTTTCCCCATTGGTTGGAACAAACTCTTTTCTTAGCTAATGACAAAGGTTATCTTATCTTGCTAATGACAATTCAGAGCTGTGGAGAGTTGCGAGCCAACAAAATAGCGCGCGCACAATGCTCAATTAACTATGAATGCACACATTTTATTTTAGCATTACCTGTTCAGATTTATTATGCAGGATTTGTACCATCCATTTCATACTCCAAGAGCCAGGTCACAGCAAATTATTTTGATATCTGATGTAGTAGAGCCACACAAGTGTTTTTCACATTCCAAGAAGTAAAGAAACAAAAGAATTAACTATCTGTTTATAAACTTCAGAATCTGATACACAAAATCTATCACCTTACTGTGCTGAGTGATAACTTATTTCTTATGCAATCTAAATATTGGGTCATAGTTGTTTCCCACATTTTTAAAGGATTTGGCCTCCACGATGTTTTAATCTCCCCCTCTCTGGGCCCTTTCACGCAGAAATATAATACAAAATATCATGGAGCCCTTGTTTCAACTCACCAGGTAGCAGGACAATCAGATGGAGGGAAGCAAGGAGTGTACATAGGATGCATGGCTTCCCCCCATGGAGCTGGCAACACAGGGGGTTTCCCATGTTGTCAGATCCATACCAGCCCCATGGGGGAAGCCATGTGCACTACATGCGCTCCTCACTTCCCTCCACATGGGTGCCCTGCTGGCCGGCAAGGCAAGACAAGGTGATGCAAGGTGAGATGAGGGCTCCATGCCTCACCCTTGAGGGGAGCACTGCCGTCAGCTGCCACCAGCCATGTAATAAGTTCCTATGGTGAAGAAAATCCTTCTAAAGATGTGCAAAGTGAATTGCCTATTTAAAATATGACATTTTCAAAGCTATTAAAACAACTGACTGAGCTTGTGGTTTTAAATTTATTTATTTATTTATTTATTTATTTATTTATTTATTTCCTATATTAATACCCCACCCTTCTCACCCCGAGGGGGAACCAGAGCAGCTTACAGATTGTCCACTTCCATGCCACGTTGCAATACAAAGCATATAAAATACAACCCATTAAACATCAACAAAAACATATAAATACATAAACTGTTAAAAAATATTAAAACCATATACATAACACCATGGTCATCCTTCATGTTGCTGCATGTCAATTCTGTGTT